GGCGCTTTTTAAGAGTTAGGCGGTTAAGCACATCGGTTGCTGGAGCAACGAATGGAATATCGTGGGTGCGTATGTTTTACCACGCGTTCCACGGAGCGCAATAAACCCCCCCCGCCCCCCCCAGCCCCCCACGTGTCGTACTCGCGATAGAGCCACTTATCGGCCGTCGTCTGAACGACGAGGGTGATAGCTATATGCCAGTTAACAAGAACGGTATCACTACCTGCAGGGTAGATTCGTATAGTATGTGCACGGTATCAGCGACGGTGTGAACGGACGGCGCATCTATAGCTAGTAGCGGCGTATAGACATAAGTGGAAAGCAAAGCGCTGTCGAGCGGCTACGGAGAAGATGGGTGTAGTGTTAAGACAGTTGTTTAAGAACTAATTTTGTTCCTGACACGGGACGAGGAGAGAGCGAGCAGAGCGCGAAGCCGAATTAATGCATACGTTCATAAATGGTGTGTATAGCCGATTGGGGTTGTGACATGTACGAGGAAATGCTGTCACCAACATGTAATTTGTTTCGAAAATGGGGGTTGACCGGGTATACTGTAGGGGCGAGCAACAGCACACAGAGTTGTTGTTGACTACATGCAATTTTTAATGCCATAAAAGCTCTATTAGCAATAATTTGTGTACAGCGACGTGACTAAATTGCCAAACAGTTACGTGTAGACGCTGGTTGAACCTGCCAGGTCACGCTATACGCGTATCGTAGGAAGTCCCGGAGCGTTTCGAACTGATTCTACGGTGACGGTGTGAACGCTATAAGTCTGGTATCTCGCGGTTGCGGTTGTATATGAGGAAACCGATTTCGCACGCGAGTGCGTAAGGGCGCATGTACTGTGTACGATTTGCAGGGTCAATTTGGTTGAGTACGGCATAGTATAAACAACTCGTAGGTATTCCTAAGGCGTAGTAAATGACGAATTTCCCTTGTTTATTGAAGTCACACTCCTTCCTTATTATCTACTCCTGACTTGTATGCAACATGAAAATGAAAGGCTCCGGTGTTAATTAGCCATCATAACATGTACATAACATAACATAAGTACAGCTGGCATATCGCCCATGCTTACATTCTATCCAGCTGTCTGTTAACCTCCTCATCACTCTCATAGTCTTTGAGAAGTTGTGCGACAAGGGCGCCGTAGGTCAACGTGAACAATTCCGAGCTCTGCAAAGGTCAGCTTGCCTATATTATTAGGTCAGGAGTCAGAAAGGAATCTCGTTGCATGCACTGCAATTTTGTTAACAAAATAGCCATGTTTTTTATGTGTCTAGTACATCATTTTGAACTAGATTTTCAGCTCATTCAGGTCATACCTGGCAATCACAAAATACAGCCCAATCCTAGTATAGCACCGTGAATTAGTTTAGCACACATGCGAACTATATATAGTATATATACTAGCACTATTACTGGGTCTAAACTCGGATTTTTCACAAAACACTATCATTATTATTTCTATTACTAGTATTAGTATTACTATTAGTATTAATATTATATTTTACGCTACCACTACTATTACTAGTACTAGACACTACCAGCGAATCGTTGTCATAATTGATTTCAACCTCCTGTAAAGTGTACTGGGTATGCAGTACATTGATTGATTGTATGGCTCTTGTAAGTGCTCTGCTAGTGCTAGCCCAACCAGGCTGCGTGACTAACGTCCTTACTCATTCTTTCAATGTACAACCGCTTATTGAAGCTGTAACGTGCCAGATACATCATGTTCATGATCACGTGTTACATGTAGTATGGCTCATAGGGTCTATGTACCCCAGGATACTATCGGAGGGTACCTGGGTACGGTTTGATATATCAGCACGTACGCCTGCATGGTAAGACTATCTGATATGGTTAGAGGTTGGGTTAGGGGTGCAAATCGCACTTTAGGCAGCCTTAGGTATTCACAAATTTGGATGGCCACGAGATTTCTGTGTATCATGCACCTGATGGCAGGAGACTTTCGTATATCAAGGAATGAATGCAAAAACGCCTAACCCTAACCTAAGTCATAAAGTGATAACGCTTAGGCAGGCTCTTCATTTTAAGGGGCCGCGATCGCGCTCGCGGCTCCAGCCTGCGCACGCTGCAATATTGTGGCATGGGTGCGCGCAGAATCAACTCGCGCCTCATAAAAGTGTGTTGAAATGCGCACGCGCAAAAAGTTCTGTGTATTATGTTGAAATAGGCGCTCGCATAGAGTTTCTGCTAAAGTAAGGGGGGTACAAAAAGGTTAGAAAGCACAGCACAAGTTGTGGTGTTTTAAGTGACTGAACGCTATGGCAGAGTCAGGTCTGGTTACTACCCCATTGGGGTGTATGCGGGGGGGGAGGTCGTAGAGGGTCGTAGCGACCACACACAGAAGATGGTTTGTTTTTGTCGAGGCCTTGGGTTGTAACACAGAGATAAATGAAAAGAGGATCAGGTACCCAGGCAATAAGTCAAAGAGCTTTCCAGATTGCGGTGACGTAAATCTATCCAATTCCAGCAATTCGCTGAAATTTTTGGTTCTGAGCCTTTTTTTACAAAGCAGAGCAAGATAAAGGGACAAAAAGTTCAAAAAACCTGTTGTCAACTGCGTCAGGAAACTTTTTTTTTATAGAAACTGATAAAATTTTTTAGAAACATATTTCTTCTTCTATTTAGATTAGGAATTGTAGTCAGGGTGCGTGTAAGGGGGGGTCCAGGGGGGTCGGACGCCCCCTGCTTGCCGCAGCAGGAAATCGACGATCTAAGGGAGGTCTAATTTCAAAATTTTTTCTGGGGGAGGGGCCTCCACACCCGCCCTTCGGCGTGCTCGCCAAGTTTGGGTTAACGGTTGACCCGCTCCACTGGTACAATGCCTGTACGGAGGCCCCTCGATGTGTGGATTGAGCATTGTAATGCAGATTCTGCTGGGCTATTTCATTGTGAAAGAGGTCAAAAAAATTATGATGCAGAACAACCCACACGAGAAGAGCAGAGACGATCTGAAATCCTGGATACACCCTGTACGCCTCTGGTTTAATACTATATGATATAGATACAATAAACAACTAGCATCCAAATAAGGTACCTAATAGGCGGGTAGCGCACAAGTTAGGCCGTGCTCGTTTTCTAGCTATGGTGGCGAGAAGATGGTTTTCTGCCGACGTGGAAAACGAGGATCGTAGGACCTGGAGGGGGCTAGCATAACGTGGGCTACTAGCGATACAAGTAATTTTCGGCTAGTTTGTTGATGGATTGTGATTGATATTTTTGTTGGCTGAAATATGGCAGGTACGGGCGACCGTAGAGGCCCGGAGCCCGAGCGTGAATGATTAAGAATGCGTTCTAAGGATGGAAATGGCAGAAGTAGAATAAAAACAAGGTTTATTTTTACATCCCGATCAACTGCCTTTTATTAAGTCTGTTGTGACTAGTGTTGGGTTGTTGGGTGAAAAGAATGTAAGGAGTCCTGACGAAGCCATTGAAGTGAATGGAAGGTGAAGGATGAATGATGAATCAGGGTAGATTCTACATGAATCGCCCAGCAATTTTCGTTTTGGATTTTCACATCTAGACTGAGGAGTTGGTCCATGATTCGCATCAGATCACACTATTGGGCGCCACCCGGACGCCGCAAGAGCATGATGGAGAGCGCTCAAGGAGCTCTGCCATCATCCCTGTTTAAAGGTGTGATTTTTAGTGAGCTCTCCATCATGCCTCTTAAGGGTGTGGATTTTTTTAGTGGAGCTCTCCATCATGGCTCTTAAGGGTGTGATTATGGAGCGTGAAAAGACCCTATGGTGTCCTAGGGGAGTCATTAGTAGTCCTCCTGTAATTTGGAATATGAAAGGCCTGCTTAGGTATCACAAAGTTAAGTGTGTTGGGTTAGGGTTAGGGTTAGGGTTAGGGTTAGGGTTAGGGTTAGGGTTAGGGTTTTTGCATCATTCCTTGATTATAGCGGAAAGTCTGTGGGGCTCAGTTGATGCTACACAGAAATCTGTGGCATCAGCTTGTGATACGCTAAGGTGCCTAAAGTGGATTGGCCAGGTTATGGAGTTAGGGTGTAGCCTGTTAGGGTAAGTCAGGCAGCGTAGGCGAACTCCGCTAGACTGCGTCGTTAGTAAAGTAGGCGAGGTGCGGTCCGGCAAATTAGATAGTACCAGGGACAGGGTACGTTCCGATATATCGAACCGTACCCAGGGTACCCTCCGATAGAGGATAGTACCCTGGGGGACATAGAGTCTAGACCCTCTCAGCTGTAGTTAGCTCTAGTACTAGAGCTAAGCTGTAGCCTGTAGTATGAACTATGACTATGTATGACTGAGTATGTGTATGATGTACATTCCAGTTTGTACGACATGGTGATTGGTCATGGTGTCGGTGACCGTCAACACACAATGAAACAATATTTAGTTAAACGTACGACTTTTTTCGGGTCAACACCCTTAACTCCTGGCCTTGACATGATGATCTCTGAAGTTTATATGTATTTTAGTAACAGCAAAGCTTCAACTTCATAACATAACGAAATTTCTCTGTACTCGGCTTAGAAGAATCAAAAAGAACATACGCTAATCACTAGATGGCGTTACTGTCCACTACCGTATGACAAATGAACAGTAACCTTTGGTGGGTTATGAAGTTTAGAACAGTGTTATGATTTTCGATTGTAGCAGCTGAAAGTGGACGTGATGGACAGAGATGAACTTTACCAGCAGAGACCCAGTGGGCTGACGCCACCCCCTTTAATTTCTGTACATGATGAACCAAAACCTCAACGAAGTCAAGGTTAGATAAGTCATAACTTAGGGTTTGGCAGAGCCGGCCTTGCCTTTGCCATTGGATTTGCTTTGGCAGAGGCAGAGCCCCCTGGGGTCAAGTATATCCTTTTAGGACCACCACCGCGGTCTGCCGGCCCATAGACATATAGTGACTCACATAGTACATCTTGCAAAGTAATATTAATAGGCTATTCATCTATTGAGTCCCACCCAGTGACTTAGGGAACAGTCTGGCCATCTTTTGATGACCTGTCACTGTCAGTGTCAGCGAGAGCAAAGCCAACTGGCCAATAACTCATTGACATATTTTGAATGGCACATTTTTCAATGGGCTAAAATTGCATCTGGAAAAGAATGAAGCACCCCTGTTAGAAAGTCATGCACCAGAATTACTCAGAAATGCACCAGATTGAAAGGAGATGCATCAAGTTTCCAAAAATCTAAGGGATCCCAACCCACTCCCCATAAGAGCTTCATGCCTTTTGAGCTTGCATTCTGTTACTTTATGACGCCATTGTTTTCAAAACTTGCTAAATTCCTCACCCCACCCCACAGTAAAAATTTCATAATTGTATCGCATATATAACATGGTTGCATGCTGTCTGTTTTGAATGTTAGGGCTGGACGATGTGATTCAGTTGTGCTCACGAGTCAAATGAAACGTGAACGAAAAATTAATATTTTTTGATACTCTAGTGCCTGTGTTTATGGTTTAAGGATATAAGAGCTATTTCTCTCATTTGTTTGGAGAGGGGAGTGACCTTCATAAATCTAGCAGGGAGATAAGCTTTCTATGTGTTCCTATTTACATATTGTCATTGAGCCATATCGTCAATATATCTGTACTTATATCAGGGGTTAATAATGACAAATTGTCATTGTTAACCCTTGGTTTTATCCATGCAATTGTAAATATATGGTCATACTGACAGGGTATACAGTGGGTATAGTCCTCTCAAGGACAAGGACCTTCTAGATTCAAAAAGAACAATGTTAGCAAGGTATCCTCTATGTGGGTTTATTTTTGTATCTAGAAAGATATGTGTGACAATAGGTATGGTTATGTAGTGATGAATATATTTCGAACGTAGACAGTCGAACATAACAGTTGTATAAACGGTGACAACTACAGTTTTATTATAAATACGGATAAACAGCACAGTCAAAACAGTGTACACGTACCGATCAGAGGTTGTCGTCGTCTCTCCCGTTTCTTCCAAAACCCGTCCTTTTTAAGCCGTCCGCATCCCCGCCGCGACCTGTTTAAGCTTAAACTAATTAATGACGCGGGTAGTGGATATAATGACCGGTCGCGACTAATGTCCGATGGTACCAGGTAGCAGCGCCGACCACCGTTGACGTTGCCTGCATAATGATGGCCGTTTGATAAACCGTGTCGCATTCTTGTTGAAGTTAATGTGTTCGTACCATTCTAAAATGTATTCTGTCCACGCTGAATTATGTATGCTCTTAATTATGTAGCTAATGTCAGGGTTCTCTAAGAGCACTTATAGCCTGGCGGCCTGCCAGGCTATCGTCGAGCCCCGCCATCCTAAAATGCACCCGCCACTCTAGATATCATAGCCGCCATGCTGGTGTATACACAAGAAGTTCAAACAATTGATACACGTTGTTTATATCGGAATAAACTTTGAAGTGATATGCAGAAAGCCTACTAGTTTACCTTGTGTTTCAATTCTCGGGAGGGAATAAACGGAGCTGTGAATAATTCGAAACGTCTTTGATTTCTCTATTAACATGAGGTATAGACTGGATTTTGAATTTTCCGATGGCTTTGCCCATGCAAAACAAGCATTTTCACTCTACATGCAGTGCTTCGAATTTACACACAGAGTGTCTCAGATTGCATCTCGGAGCTTATACAATTCAAAAATTTTGCGGGAGGGCATGCCCCTGGTCCCCCCTAGCACGCAAACCGCCTTCGGCGATTGCAACTAGGACCATAAAGGCAGCACCCCCATGCTATAGTGAAAAAGCTTGGAGAACCCTGAATGTACTCTGGGTCCATCGCCGGGCGGGTCTCCGAACATTTCCATTACTAGTGTGCCAAATTACCTATGTCTCTATCTCAATGCTAAAACGCCGTACTACAGTTACATTATATGTAATATTGTTTTAAAATTCTTTATTTTCAGAACACATTCAGAGATTCGCAGGTTTTGGAATAGGTGTCACAAGGTAATGTTGCATAATTAAAATGAGTTGAGAGAATACATAAGTTCAGGTATCAGTAGTGATTATTAATGTAATGTATACACATTGTGTAAGAGATGTCTGAATAAAAATCACATTATCAAAATACCAAATGAATGTTATCATCCAAAGTTCCACAGCTTATGAATCTGATAAGATATAGACTAAGCATACACTCAAGGTTTTATGCCAAATTTCATTGATTTTTTATTTTAATTCTTATTCAATGACTACCACTAGGCGCCACCTCTGTGCATGCTTATTTCTCCATATACCTGGATATTATGCTATGTTTGTCTTCTCTTTGTAGCTTGTTTGCAGAGAATCTGCTATCACATCCCTGTATCGTACTAAGACGACAATGTCAGGTTAGCAACCAATATATATGTATTGCTAGAACATTAATGAGCATAACTAATGAGAATTCCTAGATACATTACCTGCTTGAAAGTTTTTCATGATCACTTTATGGATAATGTTTTACCACTAGGTCTAAATTGAATACAAGTAAATTTAATATTGACTGCAGTAAGTGTTATTATGTTGTGTGCAATTTAACTCGTTATGATTTGTGTTTTGTTCTTTTATTTTAGGTGCATCACAATTCGACATGGTATCATCTGACGCCTTTCACAATAATACCTATCATTGTCAACATTCAAACCCACCAGGTAACATTAAAATCCACGAAATAACATTAAAACTCAGTAAGTAACGTTCAAACCTACCAGGTAACATTAAAACCCTCCCGGTAACATTTAAGCCCATCAGATAACATTCACTTTAATAGAAAGTTGTTTAAACTCAGTATAAGTATTGCGAAAACATTTACAGTCAGTGAAGGTAGTCCCGACGATCGATTATAATCGAAAATCGATCGATTATAGTCTCAAATTCGATTATGAAAACAAATAATCGATTTTCGGAAATACCAAAACAAACAAACAAGGAACTGTACTCACGATATGTGAATTGATATGACAAGTAGAGCACAAGTCCTGCAGGAGCCCGTTGTCAGAAACATCGTAAAGTTAATGCTAATTGCTAATGTTAATGCTAGGATAACACTTACGACTAATGTTAATGCTACGAGAGTAGCGTTGACAGAAACACATCGTAGCTACGAGCAAACTCACGATAACATGAACTTCATAATTTCATGTCACAAGGCTGCTGATTGGATGAGAATCGATCACAAAATTCAAATTCATACACATTGATTGTACATCACAGTAATTTATGAATATTATGATGGCTAACCACATATAAATAATATTTGATGAAAAATGACGTGGTCATGAATTTATTCTGCGCAACAAGACAAATTTTTTAATAAAGGCATTTAAACCATTTCTTTTTAAATTGATTAAATACTGTATAGGAGAGCACATATTTATATACATACAGCAACCTTCACAGAGTTAATGCGTGATCATAAAACATGATAATATGGAATGCTATGTATAATTGTACATACAAAGTAAGATTAAATTAAATCTATGCTATTATTAACCGATTATCCGATTATAATCGATTATCGATCGGTTAAGGGAAACCGATAATCGATTATGAAATTCCAGCCGATTCCAATCACTAAGTGAAGGTAATGGGTTTCGCGTGTTACGCAGTATATTATTAGGAAATGAATTCGCAGAATGTGTCGGTTATTGTTTAAACGAGGGATGCACATGTTCTTTTACATGCATTTCTGATTTAACAGCAATTTGTAAGTGGTGCATGTTCACTGTTTGAAGATTGTAAATTAACCATATATTATTTTGTTTCATCTTATGGAAGTCAATTTTTTAAGTGTGTGGATGTACTTATCTTAGTTATAATAGCTAGTCGTTTTTTTCAATTTCAACTTCTATATATAATTTTTTTAGCTATAAATGCTGTATAATTTGTGACCAGTGTAGCAGTGTATTGTGCTGTAAAATGAAAGGTGCTTAACATTTGCACGTTTTTGTTATGCTTGTGCAACCAACCGATTACTGAGTGTAGCTAACCATGTACTCTCGTCGCGGCAAAGATGAAGTGCTTTACCTCTGTGCTCTTTCCACAAAAATCATATTGTGTCTATATCCTACCTTGTCTCGCTCCCACAAAAATGCGTGGGGGAGAAGGAGTGTTGGGAGACACAGTGAGAGGGTAGAGCGAGAGAGAGAAGGAGAGAGCAAAAGAGAGCGAGAAAGAGAGAGAGAGAGAGAGAGAAGGAGAGAGAAGGAGAGAGAGAGCGAGAGAGTTCGGGCTCGGGTGTGAGACTGACTGCGACGCTGTCTCGCGTGTTCGCAGGGCATCGCCTCGCTGTGGAAGGGCATCGGAGGCACGTTCGTCGTGCGAGGTCTCAACCTGATCGCCGAGACGGTGCTCAGCGAGTTCACGTCGTTCTCAAGGTGAGACGGCGTCTCGAGCCTCGCCACGCCCGCGGAAATCCCAACCTCGCTAACAGCGTCGGGAGAATTCCTCCAGTTTAAATGATAAGAGCAGAGATGAAATGGAGGCGATTCCTTGAAGTCTCGTGGTGGCTGGGGTAGTACTGTATGCTGTCAACCTTCTACCAGCAAGTGCCTCTATAGAATGGTCGGTCACCTTACTATGAAGGACATGTTTTTTTTTAGAATTTCTTTGAGCGGCAGTTGTACAGTGAAACCACTCTCTGTGAAATGGACACCTATGTCCATTTCTAATGCATATGAATAACAGTTATTGGGTTTCGCTTGAGTGATCCCTATGTTTGACTGTGATTTAAATTCTGTTAAGAATAATAGACCTAGCAGACTGGCTCGTTGTCTTGATACAGATGGCAATTTTTTAGTTTTAGTTGTAGGTTTATATCTCGAGTTAAAATATTCATTTCTTTGCAGGGAAGTGACCCGTTATACGTGTTACAAAAACCTAGGAGGCCATGTTACACTCAAGTTGTAAGTTTAGATAGCTTGACTTAATGTAGTAATAGCAGGAGTAAGATAATATAGATCTATTATATTATATTATCTATATTATCTTACTCCTGGTAATAGTATATCTCCGTGTCACTTCTTTGATTGTTATTTACCTTGCTGTAATAGATTTAGTAAATTTTGTATTTTTATGTGGAAACTGTTTATGATTCACTTTTATTCCGAGTTGTGAATATCTATAAAAAGTGTCTTCATGTTAATTTACTTTTGTACATATAACATTAATAACTTGTACAATATAATGTAAAAAAAATAAAAATGTTCGGTACTCGATCTTCTGTTTGGGAAAATGTCAATTAATCCAAATTTAAATGTGCCAAATGGAGTTTTCATTTCCTCTTAGCTCAAGTAGCTAAGCTGTGTTTCTGATGTTGTTCTTGCAGCCTGACCTTTGCCATCACAACCCCGTTTGCTGCTGCCAGTCTAGTCGAAACTGTTCAGGTACCTAAGTTATAGGATAAAAAGTAAAACCTATATTTGAAGTACTTTATTCTATCCCAACTGAAACAATCACAATGGAGCAACATACTGGAAACAGCAGGCATGTTTCTGCTGCTGTTGTCGTTGTTGTTGTTGTTATTGCTGCTGTTGTTGTTGTTGCCATTGTTGCTGTTGTTATTGTTAATGTCACCATTGTTGCTGTTGTCATTATTGCTGTCGTCATTGTTAATGTCACCATTGTTGCTGTTGTTATTGTTGTTGTTGTTGTTGTTGTTGTTGTTGCTGTTGTTATTGGTGCTGTTGTTATTGCTGTTGTTATTGGTGCTGTTGTTATTGCTGTTGTTGTTGTTGTTGTTGTTGTCCACCGCTTACCCGTGCGCGTCGTTGCAGAGCGACATTGCGAGCGAGCGTCCGGGCATGCTGGACGTCATCAAGGAGGGCCTGCGCCGCGTGACGCGCTGGGGCACGCCGCAGACAACGCGGCTACTGCCCGTCTACCTGCTCGTCGTTCCCACCGCCCTGCACTCGCTCGCCCACTACGCGATCACACGCCTCGTGCAGCAGGCCGTCGTCGCACGCCTCCGCCCCGATGACGACGCCACCTACAGGCCGGTGAGTGGCTCCCCCTGCTGGGGCCTCGTCGCTAGTGTGGTCCAGTTAGCTCGGGGTTGTTCGGTGGAGCGAGCTGGAGCGATTGTTGTGTGATTCGATGTGGAGTCGTGGTTCAAGGTGGACGGCTCTTTGTTTTAAATCTTGGTAGTGATGACAGCAGCAGGAGTTTTATATATACCACTTACCGTATTATTTTACTGTGTATACACACGTTACATCAGCATATCTTATATACTATAATCATCATCATACATATATATCAGTAAAGAGGGGGGAGGGATAGGGAGAGGGAGAGAGATAGAGAGAAGGGGAGAGAGAGAGGAGTCAGTAGTTACCACCCAGCTAGCATGCAGCCGTTGAGACAATGTTTGTATTTGGTTAGCGACTTAGCGCAGTCACATTGGGCAATGTGACGTAGTGCCAATGTTGGCAGTTTCGTTGCCGCGGTCACATTGCAGGAAATGAACAAAAAGAGACAAAATAAAAAGTAAGGGAGGGGGAGGAGGACAAAGATGGCATGGGAGAGGTTAACGAAATCATCGCGAGGTAATAAGAATGGCAATCCAAGGAAGTAATACTCCCTAATGCAGTCGAGGAAAATTTGGTTTGTATCTCAAACACACAAACATAACAGCTTTAACGACTACTAGTACTATAGCCACAACCTTTGCTATGATGTCAGATGTCTCCCTAAAGTCATTGCAGCGACTAACATTGGACCTCGCTAGAAAATCCTCTATCATTCGTACGCCGATGTTGTAGCCCCTGGACGCAAAAAAACAGGGTTGTAAATTAGCAATAATACTATACTAATACTACTACTACTACTACTACTCCCAACAATAATAATAATAAATTGGCAAATAATCATGCGTGGACATTATGCACTGTCATGGTGCGTAGCTGAGGGAGGCGACACTACTGAAGAGCATTTGTTGCACTTGTATCAGGAGTAGATAATAGGGAAGGAGTGTGACTTCAATAAACAAGGGAAATTCGTCATTTACTAGCCTTAGAATACCTACGATTTACTATGCGTAACTCAACCAACTTGAGCTCAAATCGTACACAGTATATTCGCCTAGCATCGTGCGAAATCGTTTCCTCGTATACACCCGCAATCCGGAGATACAGACTAAACCGTACGACACGATTTTCCATTCTGTTTCCAGCAAACTTGATGTGTTAACCGCCTAACTCGAAAAAAAAGGCAGCTGTAAATAGGTCAAAGGTTAGCTCAGCGAGCCACACCGCATTGCCGAGAGTGCAAGAGTCGTTAGTAGCTGCCTTTTTAAGAGTTAGGCGGTTAACACATCGAGTTTGCTGGCAACAGAATGGAAAATCGTGTCGTATGTTTTACCACGCGTTCACACGTAGCAAAATCCACGGTTCGTACTCGCGATAAATTTCCCTCGTCTGAACGACCACGTATAGCTATACTCAGTTCGAAACGCGTATCACTATCCTGACAAAATGAGTGCGTTTCCTACGTACTTCGTATAGCTATGTACGCGTATAGCGGACGTGTGAACGACCAGTATACACACGTTACACACATCATGACATTGGTGCGTTTCACGTGTGTGTAGGTGCACAGCGGCGGCGGCCACCCATCGGCGAGCGACCCATCTTCCTCCTCCCCCGCACCGCCGCCACGGCGCACGATCCACGAGGCCTACCTGCCCGACCTGATCGCCGTCTTCAGCTCCCACCTGATCGCCGACGTGATCCTGTACCCGGCGGAGACGGTCGTCGCGCGGCTCCACCTGCAGGGCACGCGCACGATCATCGACAACCTCGACTTCGGGTACGAGGTGGCGCCGATCAACACGTGCTACGAGGGTGCGGCCGACGCCGTGCGCAGCATCCTCCGCGACGAGGGCCTCGCCGGATTCTACAAGGGCTTCGGTGCGCTCGCGCTGCAGTACGCCACGCACGCGCTGCTGCTGCGCGCCACCAAGCTCGTATTCGATCGGTTAGCTGAGAGCTATGCTGGTCGCCCCGCGACGGGGCGGGGCGGCGACGGCGACGCGGCGGCGGCATCGTAGGGGGCGCCACCAAGCTCGTGTTCGACCTGCTAGCGAAGAGCTACGGTGGTCGGCCCGCGAGGGTGCGGGGCGGGGACGGTGCTGCGACAGTGACATAGAAGGCGCTACTGGGCGTGGAGGGGCGTGTACGTCACTCGCGCGTTTCTGCTGCGTGCGATCGTCAGTGTCCTGCGTGTGCCCGCTCGTTGTGGAGCAACATAGAGGGCGCTGTAACACGCACTCGATCTCGGTAGGCGGCGCTTTCTCGGTGATTCGACGAGCGAAAGAACGGATTCATGAGATTTTGCTCAAAGCGAGCGAGATGTGATCGACAGTCCGGTTGTTTCAATAATGCGCATCGCAAGGAACCAATGCGATGACGACATGTGCTTGCGAGCATAGATGAAACGTGTGACGTACGCACACAAGTGGCATTAGAAGAACTCGCATTGAGTTGTTGTAGGTGTAGGGCAGACAAGATGTTAGGACAGATACTATACATAGATTTCGAGAGCGTGTGCATTGAACCGCAGCAGTCGAAACACGGATGAAATATTACACTGAAAGTGATAAAGCGATCGACTGTCATGTAGCTACTAGCGTAGCGATGTAGCTATTTATCTTCAGGTGATTTTAGATGAAATAAATCCCGGTGGTAACGCGTCCTGCTGCCGTTGGACGTGCGCGGTCTTCGTAATTACGTTCTGTCTAGTCCACGATTCCCTTGTGCTTCTTTCACAGGTAAATGCCAGCCCCCTGCCACCTATCTATCCCCCTTGATGCCAGTCCGTCTTACTTCAACCTCACGTAACCGGCTCCATCATCTCTTTCACACAGTGTTACCAAAAGCTGAATTACCTAGCTGTCTGTGTGGGTCTCTTGGGGGTTGCTGATAGGTCGGGTGAGCTAAATCATACGTGTTTTTCACGTGTGAACAGTAAATGCAGACGTTGTGGTGCTTCGTTACCAGGCATTAAAGATAAAATCTATCTAAATCATGTCAGACGTTTGGGCCCATAAACGTTATTTACTTGGCACTTACTGTTACTCCCGTGCTCAGTGTATGCTAGCTACCCTCCCTCGCTGACTTCTGCCGATCTCGTTAGCTTATTTACGCTAATTAATTAATAACATTGCTTTCCCGATTTTATCTCCTTTTTATGGGGTACTTCTTCATTCTACGGTGGTGGGGGGAGGGGGAGATTCCACCACACCTCTGTGCAGTGCTTGGTAACACCACTACACTTGGCCTGGTCTACACACACACAGCTACAGTGCCTATAGATAGAACATGCTAGATGTTTATGCATAGCCGTGGACCCTAGCTGTGGCGGTGTCCACCATAGAAATGATATACTGGGTAGAGATATGTGTGTACATTTCTATGCTGGTGTCTGTAGAAATGATATGCAGGGTAGACGTATCTGTACATTTCTGTGGTAGTGTACAACAGCACGCACCCGTGTAGACTGGCAGTGTGTATGCGTCCAGTATCGCGTACCGATGTAAGTAGGGCTATACAAAATGTGTTGTGGAGATCTACGTGCTTACGGTACGGTACGGTACGGTACGGTACGGTACCGGCGTACGGCTACGGCATGCTCGTGATCCCCGTTGATTTCATATTGCCGCGAAAAATCGTGCAATCGTCACGGTATGGCAGGCATTCTCCTGATGAAGTTGTAAACTGTGTTAATTTAATTATAAATATTATGTATGTATGTATGTATGTATAATATGCGATGCTTTGCGCTGACTCCGTATGTAGGAGCAGCGGGCCTCGTGTATGTTGGGGAAATAAATGTCTTGAGTCTAATTGATACTGTATTTTACATCTCGCTTCCTGTTTGCGTTCGTCTCGACCATGCAATATTTTGATATTGTAATTAAATTCATATCTTTATAGTATCAGTGGTTAATAATAACAAATAAAATAAATTTGTCAATCAAAATCAATTAAATTCAATCAAAAGAAATCAAAATAATTTGTCATTATTATCCCCTGATAGTGGGGTAATATTATCTATATCTTTATCTCTATCTTTATCTATATCTATCGTAATTATATCTTTATAGTATGTTTGATTAATTTGATAGTTGAGATTGTTTTCGTGGGCACGCTGTGTACGAGAGAGTGCCATCGGTAATGATACACATCCAACACTAGCTCCGTACAACAAGTCCCTACTACTTTAGGACCCCCCCCCCATAACCACCATCAGCACATACATGGTCGGGGTAGGGATAGGGTTGGGGTAAGTAGGGTACATTACAATGCAATGCAATACAGCGCAGTGCAATATCTATACGGTGGGCCTATTGTATGGATACGTTCATGGTAGCAGCTAACTGAATGCAGTTAACACTTTGTGTCTATGGAAAGCGGTTTGGGCCAATATTGGGCCATAATTGGGCTGATAAACCTAGTTTTACGACCGTAAAACCCAGTTTATCGACGTAAAACCGGGTTTATCAAATTAAACTATCAATATCGGCCGATAAACTCGCTTTTACGTCGATAAACCCGATTTTACGTCGATAAACTAGGTTTATTATAAGATTCTGAATCACTATACATTCATAACTAAATAGAAACATTTTACAATATACAGTTACAATACATACTGATGAATCTTGAATAAACATTTCAGGTAAATATAATGTGACAGTGTATTTTTTCTCAGCACGTTTTCTTTTCCTCTGTCCCAGCTAGAGATAGTATAGCTATAGATACGACCGTAAAACCCAGTTTATCGACGTAAAACCGGGTTTATCAAATTCAACTATCAATATCGGCCGATAAACTCGGTTTTACGTCGATAAACCCGGTTTTACGTCGATAAACTAGGTTTTACGGTCGTAAAACCCAGTTTATCGACGTAAAACCGGGTTTTTCGAATATTGGCACAAACCGCTTTCCATATGTGTCTATCACACGCTATCAAGAGCAGATAATAACGCTATCCACACGTACGCGTGCTACCGTAACTATAGGCGCCTGTGTTCAGGAAGCAGCAGCAGCAGCTGCGATCGATCGATCCATCAATCGATCGCCTTCGCCGATTTTTTTTCGCATCCGAAACTAGACGACGCACGGCGTGAGAATCGTTACTTGTGTCGTTGCGCAGCGCCGCCCACGTGCTTACGCGTAATATTGAAACTACATTTTTCGTATAATGATCATAGGCGCGGCATGCAGCGGCCGCTGACGTCACGAGCGACGACAGACTTCTGTTCGATTGTGTCGCCTGGTAACGGGCCACGCCCCCTGCGACGAAACTGCGCGCTCCATCGCCGCTGACGTGATGTTATGGTGATGTTATCGTTAATGTGATGTTATGGTTAATGTGATGACGGTGGTGGCGCTCGCGTAGTCGTTGGTCGGTGTGTGTGTGTGGGGGTGGCGTGTAAGTGTTTTTATCAGCCCGTGTAGGGCACGAGTCAGAGACTACGGGTGTCAGAGCACAGGCACTTGAAGCGTATCAACAGTAAACATACGCCGCCGCCATCGCGCGCACACTGACACATAAATATAGAGACTCTATATTTATGTGTCAGTGTGCGCGCGATGGCGGCGGCGTATGTTTACTGTTGATACGCTTCAAGTGCCTGTGTGTCAGAGCGTGATTTTCGAAGACGCACTTAAACGCTCAGACGTGTTTAGCGCTTCTTTTAGACGTTGTTAGGACAGCGAGGGCGTGTATTTTATGAGGCGGGGAGACAGAGACGGAGATGTTAAAGATGTGAGTTGATTATGCAAATTTTTTGCGACGCGTTATATTGTGCCAGCTGTCAACTTTATATGTCATGGAAGCCGAGATGGTGATGTCTTCGTAAGGGGGTGAGTATCGTGTGTGTGTGTGTGTGTGTGTGTGTGTGTGTGTGTGTGTGTGGGAGGCGTGTGTGTGTGTCGTGTGGTGTGTGTGCGTGTGTGTGGCGTGTGTGTGTGTTTGTGTGTGTGGTGTAGGTTGTGTGTGGTGTGTGTGTATGTGTGTGTGTGTGTGTGTGTGTGTGTGTTTGTGTTGTGTGTGTGGTGTAGTGTGTGTGTGTGTGTGTGTGTGGGAGGGGTGTTGTGCTCGTGTGTGTGTGTGTGTGGTGCGTGTGTGTGCTCGTGTGTGTGTTTGTGTGTGCTGTGTGTGTGTGTGTGTTTGTGGTGTGTGTGCGGCGCGCCGGCGTGCCGTCTGCGTGCGTCGCGTGCGTGCGTGCGTGCGTGCGGTCGCGATGCGTAGTGTGTGTATGTGTGTGTGTGTGTTTGTGTGTGTGCTCGTGTTGTGTGTGTGTGTGTGTTGTGTGTGTGTATGTGTGTGTGCTGTGTGTGTGTGTGTGTGTGTGTGGTGTGTGTGTGTGTGTGGTGTGTGTGGTGTGTGTGTGTGAGGGCGTGTGTGTGTGTGTTACGTTAGGGTCCTATATACAGAGAAGTTGCGCCAACTCAGGATTGACTCCAATGTTGTTTCCCAGATGGATGCCACCACCGTGCCGCTTAAGTACTGCGCGTAATGGATACGCGTACAATGGTCGTAGTAATTAATTAGACCTAATGCGTTGCTTCAATAAAACTCAAAATTTACAGAGATTACCGCTAACGACCATGTGTTCTCAATGTGTACTAGGATTTTTCTAGAATGTAACTCAAATCGTTCGCGTCGAAGCCGATATGATAGCTCTTAATTGTAGCACTCCTTCTTCGACGCCAAGCCGTGCGTCATATTTAACCTGTGAGCGGATACCGGCGCGTAGATACTTGGCTACATTACATTAAACCCACTCGCGCTTTCAATAAACCTCCAAGAATCAGCAGAGATTTCATCAGATAAGCACCATGTGTTTTAATATCGTATCTAGATTTCTAGAAAAAAAGTAACTCAAGATCGTCTCGCGCATATTGATAGCCTTAATTGTACACTTTTCTTTAGTGTAAACCACAGCCAGCTAGTCCATTTTGGAACAGAAATAATGACAACTGTTATTCCACAAGATATAAGTGCGTTCCACTCTCCACTCCGCGGTCGCAGACTTGTGAA